AATGGGCACTAACAAAATGAAGCACTATGGTGCAATGGACTCGCCTGCTGGAATTCACCTGAGTGATATGCATTACTTGTATATACTGTGATATTTTAAGCAATTTGAAAAAAATTATTATTATTGACTGCATACTTATAAGGATAATTAAAATAAGCTATGGGTGTGGTCAACAACTAACTAAATCATGGCACATGGGTAGGAGAAAGAAGAAAAGCTGAAATTTATTTTAGCATCTGAAGCTCTATTCCAAGAAAGAGTTGGCACAGAAAATTTTTCTAGATATTTAAAAGAGACTGAGAGAGTTTGGTTGCTCCTGCTTTTCCCAGTGCCGCCTGAAAAATTCTCAAAGAGGCTAAATCACAAACTTTGAGCAACTGTAACTCACAAACAACGAAGTTAGGACAAAATCGTTCTTTTTGTTTTTCGTTAAACGGGATTTTCTACCTCTGAAGCAAATCTCAGCCCTGTAGAGTGAAACACGAGCTCTCACCTGGATAGAGGTCCCCTGGTTTAGCAGTTCACAGCTTTTGGTGCCACGGGATGCTACAAGAGCATAACTAGATGAAAGAAAGCAACTTTATCTGTTGCTAGAAGAAGAAATAGAGCTCCAGACTGCTCAGACAAAAAGATAATTTTTTTACAAATCAATTAAACTGTGTGGACAGAATGACAGAATGACAACCCAACTGCTTAGTACCCGCCTACGTAAGCGTGGCGAGTCCAAAAATCAAAAAATAATTCAAGCTGCATGGTAATGATGTTATTGAAATTGTGCCTAATAAATGAGCAATACTCATATAAGTAATTGACAGATAAAAATCATAATTTCATAAAATAAAGCAATTTGTACACAGCAACAAAATCTTGTATAAATACAGCACACAGTACTACATGTACATGTATACACTGTACCTGATTCCAGTGCTAGTAGAGTTTCCTGAAGTGATTGGTTGTTGATTCTAGCCACTTGTAGATCATGACGTAAAGAGACATTGACAACTTGAAGCTCCTTGTCTTTATCTGTCATGTATTCATTTATTACAATCAATTTCTTTTTTCTTTCTTTTAGTATTTGTTCATAAAATAAAGGAATATTATGTGAATCTAATACTGGTACCACTGACCATTGACCATCATTAAAAACTGAGGGAGAGAGGGAGGGAGAAGGAAAATGAGTTAGTGATTGTGAGTGAGGGAGATAAAGGATAGAAGAATGACAAAATAATACTTTTTTAATTTGAGGAAATTTGTCGTTATTCTACTTATAATTTTCTATTATTTTAATAACTGTATAATTAATATCTATAATATTCATCACAGTCACCTAATTTGGGTGTGGATTAGCTATACATGCATGTATACAAAATTTTCTGTTATAAATAAATAAATAAATAAATAAATAATAAGTTTACCTAGTTCTACTACCATTGTAATATTATGGTCAGTGATAGGTGCATCAAACAATCTCCTTAATTGTCCTTCTATATTCATTATTTTCCCTACATCACCTCCCACTATTATCAGGAACACATGATTAGGATCAACAACAAAAGATGATACAGTATGATTAAATCTATTAGTAACTGAATCAGGTAGAGGAATCTGTAGAAAATAAGAAACATTGCATTGGTATAAAAATCTTGGGTATCAATTTTTTATCTTTTATGTGTGAATGAGATTCATAACTTACAATGAGATTCAATATAATACCATAAATAGAAAAATTATTTATTGCAGCCACCATTTTGGAGGTACCGTGTAGCTGGTTATTTTGGAGGGAGAAAATTTTGGTAAACAGCTAATTTTTTGGTCATTAACAGGTTTTTAAAGGGAGGCTTGCACGCGAAAATGAAAATTGAGATTATTGCTTATTTTTAATGCACACTACCCAAATAGACTATTCCTAGTTGCATTCTTGCATTGGACTTGCTTTGGGAAAGTTAGAGCTTGCTACAGTTGCTGGTAGCCATTGCTTCCTGTTAGGGGGCGCGGTCATTGATGACATCACAAGGGGAATCAACATGAGCAACTGCAATGATTTACATGCAGAAATAAAGAGAAAATAACTTGACAAAAAGAGGGATTATTCAGTGACAGTTAAGTTGTGGATGCTCTGATACTTATAAAGACAAGGTAAGCATAGAAATTTTTTCAAAGAATGCTAAAATCAGAGAGAAATAGACTATGACAAGTCAAGAGATTTTGCATGACTTAGACTGGTCCCTATGGCTATTCTATGCTATGTAGTGATTATCTCAATTATAAAAGCTTTAAAGTAAACTTTCTTTTGCCTTTTAACTCTGAATCAT